GATAATGTAGCTTCTGTGTTAAACTAAATAAGATAATGTAGCCTCTATGTTAACCTAAATAAGATCATATTACCTTTAACAAGATAATGTAGCCTCTATGTTAGGCTAGAGAAGATAATATTTGCCTAAACCAAAAAATAATATCTAAAATATATAATTCTATGGCTACTCTCTTTGCAGTGCTGCAGCTGCTTCCTTCCTCACCTCTGGCAAACCATTTTGTATTTTTGAATGAAACGCAATTGGGTTTCAACATTTATGCTAAAATCTGGACAATTTTCTTATGGGAACTCATACAAGGACCGTTGTTTGTTTTCAACTGTTTCTGACTAAAATTGTGTCATTTTGGAGTTTTTGTTTTTCTTTTAACGTGTCTTTCAAACTACCTGGTGGGTTCAGGGGTTCAGAGGAAAATAGTTTGACCTGTTGTTTTCCTGCTCTCAAGGGTCAACATGTCTGGTGAAAACGATCTCTTAGTAAACAAGCACAGCGTTTGGGTAGAACCACATTCCTCACTGTTTGTTCAGATTGCTGCTGAGCCTGTGCTGCTCCCCTGCACATTACGTCAGCTGCTACTAAACTCAGGTAACCATGCCCATGAACGTACTAAAGGATGATAAATGACAAACCCTGCATAGCTGGCCTGCCAGAGACGACAGCCTCCAGCCTGCTAACAGCTGCACAGGGAAACACACATCTGGATGTGATTCATGATTGTGCTGCAATGACATTAACATGGTGATATTTCTCAGGTGTTCAATGCTTCTTTGAGATGTCCGATGCAGCTCAGACTCAGACCAACATCACCAATGGAATGCGACTGTCGGACAAATTGTTGTTCTCCTTCTTGACTACACTGCCGTCCTGCATATTCTTCTTCATCAACGGCACCTTGCTGGTGACTCTGAGGAGTAAGCCGATGTTTTGTGGAAACTGCCGCTACGTCCTCCTGTGCAACCTCCTCATCGGAGACATTCTGTTTCTGGCGCTGAGTCAGTTGTTATACCTGCTGTCTATCTCCAGGATAACGATGCTGTATCCTGTGTGTGCTCTGCTCATCATGCTCAGCACCCTCACCGACAGCATCTCACCCCTCACGCTGGTGGTGATGTCCATGGAGAGATACATAGCCGTGTGTCATCCACTGCGACACGCCGCCATTGTCACCATCAGAAACACAAGTGTGGTTATCTTGTTGATTTGGACTTTTTGCTTTCTGAATGTTCTCATTCAGACTCTTCTGCTGTTAACGTTTATTTTAGAAGCGCTGCAGAGGAAAGAACTGTGTCTTGCAGCTTTACAGTATCCTACACCTACATCTCGTGAATATAGCAAAGCCTACACCTGTGTTCTGTTTGTATCAACTGCCGTGGTGATCATTTCCACCTATACTGGTGTTGCAGCAGCAGCCAGGTCCGCTTCTGCAGACAAAGCTTCGGCCCAAAAGGCTCGAAACACGCTGCTGCTGCATCTGGTGCAGCTGGGCCTCAGCCTCTCCTCCACCACACACAGCTTCCTGGTTCTATCCGTGTCAAAGCTCGTCACAAGGATGGTGTTTGTACGCATCCAGAATGTGCTTTATGTGTTTCTTTTCGTTCTTCCCAGATGCCTGAGCGCTCTTATCTATGGAATCCGAGACCAGAGCATCAGATCCATCCTTGTGTACAAACTGTGCTTTAAGAAACAGCAGATTCATTTTTGATGAAATTGAAAAGAGACATTGTTTGATGTGCGTTCGTCTCAGCTTTCTGCATCCTAAAGTTCCCCCACTGTGCAACTGTCACTGAGGTTTGCATTGAGAAAAATTGCACAGGTAACAGAATTGCATTTCGATTTAGATTCTGTTTACACGCAACCTGAATTAATACATCTGTGTACTTTGAATACAGTTAGACATAAAGCCACAATTTGTGATGTGACTTCAGGAGCAGAGTACGAGAGAGGGGGAAGACGAAGCAGAAAAGGAGTGAAAACAGTGTATTGTTTTGTAAAAATGTGCTATGTATTGATTGAATATAAAGATTGTTTTTGCTGCCAATATGATGATCCTGGTGTGATTTTTTTAATGCATTTATTAAAATGTCTAAAATACCACCAAAAAAAAGAGCATATGAAAACACTTGAATCTGCCTTTCTTCTTCACTGAACTCTGGTTTCCTGCTCTGCATGCTGCTGATGCTGCAGCCTCCAGCAGCTGCTCACCGCTCCGAGGCCTCCACTGGGGGGCGCAGCGCTGGAACTGTCAGTGTGACGCAGACGGAAGTGTGTCTCATTGTCTCATCCTCTGGTCCTCCTCTTCTTCCTCAGCATCCTCCTCCTCCTCCTCCGTCACCATGGTGCAGATGATGGAGTCGCAGTGCGAGTATTTCATGTATTTTCCGGCGGTGCCCATCACGGATCTGTCGGACCCGGCGCGCTACCGCACGCTGCCCCGCCGGAGCCACCTCTACCTGGGAGAGACCGTCCGCTTCCTCCTGGTGCTGCGCTGCAGAGACTCCGGGGCGACGCCGACCGAGCCCGGCCCCGGTAAGGAGGCAGGGAGGACGCTGCCAGCACCGAGACGGGTTTTTTTTTTTTTTTTTTTCTGTGTCACTGTGCATTTGTTTAAACCGATGCAGCTGATCGTGTCCAGACTGTTGTTTCTGTTCATTCATATTCACACAGAGCCTCCCTGTCAGCGTCATTATTCTTCTAAAAGTGCACCACATTCATATTTAACACGGGCTTCTGTGTACAATACACCACACAGCTTAAAGTGCACACCAGACTCTACTGAAGATTCACCTGTTTATTGTAACCCACCACAGGAGGAGAAAATACAACAACACAGAGGCTGCAGAGGGCCCCCATACCCAGGAAGTGCAACACTTCTATGATATTTTAAACACAACAACACAAAATACATTAACTGAATTCAACATAGAACTCATCAATGAGTTGATTAACTAATTATGTCCACAGAGAGAAAGCCAGCGCAAAAACCCATGTGAATATTGGTCCAATCCAGGGTTCAGACTCCAGTTGACACTGCACAAAAGTAACGTTAAAATTTCTATGACTATTTGACCAAAACAAGGCTAATATGGACCCAAAACAGATAATATGGAACCAAAACAGAATCAAAACAGATAAAATAGACCCAAAACAGAACTGAAACAACAGATAATATGGAACCAAAACAACAGTTACTCCATCCATCCATCATCTTTACACCATTTTATCCTCACTAGAGGGGAGGGGGGTTGGATCTTATTGAACCAAAACAGGGCCAATATACCAGATAATATGGACCAAAATAGAACTAAAACAACAAACAGTATGGAACCAAAACAGGACTGAAATGCCAGATAATATGGAACCAAAACATCAAATAATATGGAATCAAAACAGAACAACAACAAAAAAGGAACCAAAATAAGACCAAAACAGCAGATAATATGGAGCCAAAACAAAACGAAACACTCCTTAAACTAGAATCAAAACAGGACCAAAACAACATATAATATGGAGTCAAAACTGGACCAAACACCAGATAATCTGGAACTAAACTGGGGATAAAAGCAGCAACACTGTTCCGTGTCAAGGCGCCGTTGTTCAGCATTAAGTTGTGTGTGTGTCCAGTGAAGATGCTCATCATTGGAATAAACGTAAACGTGACGCCCTTCCTCCAGCAGGGGGCCCTGATGGGACTGCAGCAGGCTTTGGGTCAGAGTCAGCCAGCAGCCGGGCGTGGAGGGAGCTGGCCGGCTCCCTGTGTGCCGTGGCCAGCGTCAGTCCAGGCGAGAGCAGCCGCCATCGAGGCAACCACCACCAGCATCACCACGACTACCAGAGCAGCGGCGACGAAGCCAATGAGGACGGCGAGGAGGACTACATCGCGGCTGCCGAGGCGGCCATCGCGGCGCTGGGCAGCAGGGTGGACTCCCGGTGTCGGAGCTTCAGGGACTGCAAGCCGCTGCTCATCCACAACTCGTCCGGAACGGCGTCCAGGGAGTTCCGCAGGGCACCTGTCCAGGTATCCAGCTATTGCATGGATTGACTTGACTTTGGTTAGCCCTTGTCTTTGTTATTTGACCTTCTGAACTCAAAAACCTGCTGGTGGGTTTTAGAGGCATTCTACTTTTTTTTTTTTTTTTTTTAATCCCCAAAGTGACGTTATTTATCACAACCGGAAACTGTAAAACAGAAAATAATTGTAAGATTTTCTTTGTCATGCCACTCCATCTGGAAGAATCACCAAGCCTATGCTTAAAGCTGTCGTATTTAATTAAAATCACTTTTTTTTTTCTACATGTCTCATTTTAAAATTTGCCAAAAATGATCATATTTGA